TTACAATTTTCTCTAATAATAATTTGTTATATGTATATATAATTAATAAAACATACACAACAAATATATAAAGCATAAAAATAGCATAAAAAGCATAATAAGTATATACATTCATAATTTTAATACAATACATATATATGTATGGATGTACATATAGATAAAACTATATTGGGATCAGTTTTGTGGAGCAATTAATGAGTCCAACATTATCAAATATGAAGTCTGTTAGGAATAAAGTGTAATGGTTTTGATATGCCAAATTTGTATTTGTAGATCCCCCATTTTTATTTATAGGACTAGTAGAGTCTTAGACCATGATCGGGAAATTATTTAATTATCAAAAGAGAAAAACAGAGGAAAATGGATGAAAATAGAAGAAGAAGATATAAAGCCGAAAATCAAGAATTTGTCTGGAGAAAATGACAAATTAAAGAAGAAGATGAATGATACAATATTCACGTCGCTACTACTCAAAGAAGATATCCCAGAAGAATTTTCGTGAAGAAAATTAATATTGGAAGAATGCATGAAGTTGACTTGGAGATCAAGCATCTATGGAAAGAAAGAAGTACATCAAATGTGATTGGAGATTTAATCAAAAGCTGTACGGACGAAGTGGATGATGCTTGATATATTATCCGAAATGGCTCAAGTTTGAAACTCACCATCAACAATTTTACAAGGTAAAATTTGAGAGGTCAAAATTAATCTGATGGAGTTGGGCGCTAGTTTAAGCTATGGGCGCCGATTGCAAGTGGAAATTCAATTGAGATGCAATTGCACTTGGGAGCCAATTCAAAGGAATTGGGAGCCGATTTCATAGAAATTGAAATTGGGAGCTAGTTTCGAAGCAATTGAAGTTGGGAGCCAGTTTCAGATTAATTGAAATTGGGAGCCGATTTCATAGAAATTGAAATTGGGAGCTAGTTTCGAAGCAATTGAAATTGGGAGCCAGTTTCAGAGAAATTGAGATTAATTGAAATTGGGAGCTAGTTCAGAGAAAGAAACTGGGAGCCAGTTTCAGAGAAATTGAGATTAATTGAAATTGGGAGCTAGTTCAGAGAAAGAAACTGGGAGCCAATTCAAGTTGTAGTATGGGATGCAATTCAGATTGGGGACCAATTAAAAGAAGACATTGAGGAGGAATTGAGATGAAGAGAGCCAATTCAAGTTGTAGTATGGGATGCAATTCAGATTGAGGAGGAATTGAGATGAAGAGAGCCAATTCAAGTTGTAGTATGGGATGCAATTCAGATTGGGGACCAATTAAAGGGACCAATTAAAAGAAGACATTGAGGAGCAATTGAATTGAGATGAAGAGAAGTTGTAGTATGGGATGCAATTCAGATTGGGGACCAATTAAAAGAAGACATTGAGGAGCAATTGAATTGAGATGAAGAGAGCCAATTCAAGTTGTAGTATGGGATGCAATTCAGATTGGGGACCAATTAAAGGGACCAATTAAAAGAAGACATTGAGGAGCAATTGAATTGAGATGAAGAGGACCAATTAAAAGAAGACATTGAGGAGCAATTGAATTGAGATGAAGAGAAGTCCAATTTCGAAGTCAACATTGAGAAGTAATTGGAGCACCAGGAGATGTTGGGAGCCAATTGCAAGTCAAAGTCAATTGGGAGCCAATTACAATGGAGAAATTCAAATTGGGTGCCAATTACAAGCCAATTGAAATTGGGTGTCAATTACAAAGGAAAAATTCAAATTGGGTGGAAGTTCAAAGCCAGTTTGAAGTCTGAGAACACCCAGACGTGTGAATGAAGAAGATGAAGCAGAACTTACAATGAAAAATATTCTCACAAGGAAAATACTAGTCTAACTAGTATGGGATTAAAATAAAGATTATTTTTTAATACCAGAGATACAAGGACCACTTCAGAGCTGATCAGAGAAGCCATTCTACACCAAAACTGAGACCCAGATATTTCCACTCAACGTAAAACCAGAGGAATATCAGATGAAGTTTGGGAGCTCATTTACATGGAGATGAAGATCTTTCAAACGGCTAGCTTATCTCTTTCTGACATTTTTGCAGAAGATAAGATAAGATCTCTGACATGGGAGCGTCTCTTTCCAACGGACGAATTCTCATCACCAGCTATAAAATGATGAAGATATGAAGACTTGAAGAACAGAGCAGTGAATAAGAGCAGAAGAGCATACAACGAACTCAAAAAAAAAAAAAAAAGAGAGCAGAAAATTCGAATCCATCAAAGGATCGAATAGAGCAATTAAGCTTAAAAGAGCTAAAATCTTCAAGTGAGAGAAAAGAACTCAGAGAGCTTCAAGAGAAAAATATTCTGAGAGTTCTTAAACAAGAGCAAAGCAGAGTAAAATATCAAGTGCTTTACTTGATATATTCAAAAAGAGAAAACACTTAGAGCTATCAAGAGAAATCATTCCAGAGTGTTTATCTTCATCAAAGAGACCTGCGCATCATTGAAGATCATCTACAGAGTCTCAGAAGTTGGAAGCAAGACAACACTTGTTTTGGAGCAAAACAAGAGAAGGGAGGAAAGTAGCACGGAGCTGTGAAATCCTGGATTGTCACACGGAGCTGTGAGATCCGAAGCAGCAGTGTCGGAGGCACTGGGCGTGATTGGTGTGGGCTTGGTGATCAAAGCACCAGATCACGGATACGTTTCTACCGGAGTGTGGAAGACGGGGGGAAAGTAATGCGGAGTCGTGAAATCCTGGGATAGTAGCGCGGCGACGTGAAACCCGAAGCAGCAGTGTGGTGTCACTGGGCGTGATTAGTGCGGGCTTTGTGATCAAAGCGCTAGATCACGGAAATTCATTGTATCTTGGAACCAAGGAGTGGTAGATATAGTGAATTGGCTCTTGGAGAAAAGAGCAAGTGGAGTAGGAGGATTACACCACCTCGCGAACCACTATAATTGTCTTGTGTTCTTTACTGCTTTCTTTACATACCGCTCTTTACATATTCACTCTCACGAAGATATACTTCTCACACAATCTGACACACACTTTATGTTTAATTATTTCCGCTGTGCACTATACTCTAACAATCTAGTTATGAGTTTTGGTTTATCTCTGTCTTAGCAATTGTTGTGCTGTGCGAAAAAGTTTGAAAGTCTATTCCCCCCCCCCCCCCCCCCCCCTCTAGACTTTCACCTAACCTCTTTTGGGACCAACAATTGGTATCTGAGCAGGTGTTTACCCGAGTCAAAATTGTCCCTAAAGTGGGTCAACTATTTTTGACTGCTAGACAGATCCATTCTACAAAGTGTGTGAATTGGATTAATCTTTCATATCTCTCGTAATGATGATGAAGAAAGATTTAGCTCAAAATCTATTATTCTCTCTTGATAAATTTGATGATTGGAAAGTTCGTATGCAGGTACACTTATTGGCTTTACACGATGAAATGTGGGAAGTTATTTCCACTGGCCCTATAGAAATATTAAAAGTCAATACGGCGTTTGTTATATCCCCGGATGCTCCACAGTACGTACAAAAGCCAAAACCGGAATGGACATCGAACGATAGAACGCGGAATAATCTTGACAATATTGCCAAGGATATTCTATTCAAAGCCGTTGATGATACAATATTTCCGAAGATCCGAAAGTGTGCCACTGCCAAAGAAATATGGGAAACTCTCATCAAGATTGGCGAAGGAGATGAACAAGAAAAAGACAATAAGCTCACAATCGCCATGAAGAAGTTCGAAGATTTCAAAATGCTCTCAAATGAAAGTGTTGCATACATGGAAGCTCGAATGATCAAAGTTCTTGGAGAGATTAGTGATCTTGGCAAAAATATTAGCCAAAAAGAAATTAATCTCAAAATCCTACGAGGCTTACCATCTGCATGGGATATGAAGGTTACGGCTATGCGCGATCACCGAGATCTAAGAATGTTGTCAACAGACAAATTATTTAGTGATCTAAAAGCATATGAGTTCGAAATGAAGGCCAAAGATGATGATGTTCATGAAGCTCGAAATGCTGCTCTAATGGCCGAACAACCGTCAACCTCCAGGTCAGTAGAAAATAATGTTGATTTTATGACTGACGAACAATTTGCTCTTTTTGTCAAAAAGCTTAGAAGGTTTATGCGAAAAGGAGACAACAAAAATTCAGCTCGTGGAAAATTCATCCCTCGCATAACACAAGAAGAAAAAGTCGAAGAAAATAAGGATTTGTGCTACAATTGCCGCAAACCCGGATATTTTAAAATAAATTGTCCGTATCCGATCGTTAGCAAGTATCAAGGCAAAAATGTTGAATCTACGCCGAACAAATCCGAAAGCAAAAGGTTCAAGCGCGACAAAAGAAAAGCTCTCGTTGGCAACGAACCAAACGAAAATGATGATTCGGAGGATTCATCATCAAGCGATGAAAGCTCATATTCGGATGATGATACGGCGCTAATATGCAAGTCAACTGAGTTGAGTACAAGTGAAGATTGTCTTATGGCTCTTGACGCAGAGGAAGAAGAGGTAAGTTCTAATTCTTTCAATTCTGTTAATTCCTCTTTTTCTCGTGAATCTATTGACAATCTAATGTGAGAATGTCAAGAGATTATGCTCACTCATCCTCAACTCAAGGAGCGCAATAATATTCTAATTCTTGAAAAAGAAGAAATGAATAAAAAATTGCAAGATGCTTTACTTGAAGTGAGTAAATTGAAGAATGAAAATATTCATCTTCAAGAAGAGTGTAAAGCTAGAGAGGTTAGAGAACATAATCTTAGAGCTACTATTGCTACGTTCACTAATTCGTCAAAAATTATAGATAAAATGGTGAGCATGCAAAAGCCATCAGGAGATAGAACCGGAATTGGTTATGACTCCACATGTTCTCAAACCCCTCAAAATCTGACTAATTCTACTACTACTTTAAATAATAAAGTTCAAGTGGTAAAATTTGTTAAAAGTCAGAATAGCACGATGAGACAAGGACTTGGCTATCAAACAAATGCAAAGTTGAATGTTGA